TTAAGAAAAAGTAGCTAGAAACATAGGAGGAAACCAGGATAAAGTAGTATCACATAGGTTTTGAGAATAGAATTTCAAGCCTAGTTTCAATAAAAGGGAGGGGTCAAAATGTCTGAAGTTGCAGGAAAGTCTAGTAGTTTGATACAAGAAAAATGTTCCTTTGCATTTGGCATCATGGAAATAATTGTGACCTTGACAAGAGTTATTTCATAGTATTGAGGACAGAAATTAGATGGATGTGAGTTACCATATCTGACAACACAAAGAAGTCTTCAGTACTGGGGAGTTCAAGAACTGTTTTTTCTTTGAAAACTACGTTTGTTTGGTTTTTTTTTTATTCTTACCTGAGGGATATGTTTTGTTTTTATTGCCTTTTTTTGAGAGGGAGAAACATTGATGTTTCCCATACTGACAGGGATCAAACCTGCCGCCTAAGTATGTGCCCGGATCCGGAATGGAACCTGCAACCTTTTGGTACACGGGACGACCTTCAACCAACTGAGCCATAGGCCAGGGCGAAGTACTATCATTTCAGCATTCTTAGAAATGGTCCTTCTAAACTACTGTTAATTGCATGGCTTTAAATAGGATATTTCCAAAGTCATCTCCTCTACCCAGAAAACCCATGGTACCACACACCAATCTCTCATATATTATCATTACACCTATTCTAAGTTAGTACTGAAAATGTATTTTGGACACATGAGAGTATAGATTTGGTGGCAACACTGAAATTTTAATTCTGTAAACCATATGTCCAAGTAGTCAATAGAGAATGTTGCCCACATAGAACTGGGCTTGGGCTGAGACCGAGACCTTGTCTTTCCCCAAATGCAGCATCACGCACCGCTCCCAAGAGCTAACAACAGGTCTGTCCAGATGCTAAGGCCAGGGGCTTCGAAACCTCCATCCTGTGCCTTGCAAGTCTCCAGGGCACGTAGAGCTTCATCTTTCAGGGGCGAGGGGGCCTGGCAGAGGCTCTGAAACCGGCTGTACAACTCCTCCCAGGGCCCCTCTCGGGCCTCGGCGCCAACCCACTCGCCCTTCTGGAGGTCGTAGTGCAGCCGTCGGCCCCAATCGGTCAGCAGACCCAGGTAGACCTGGACGAGCTCCGGGTGGCGACCCACCACCGAAGTTAGAAGCTCGGACGGGAGGCTGTGGCACAAAGCAGCCATGGTGTCTGACTGGCCCAGAAGCCACTGAACCAGCTCGTGACGCCCCTCTCCCGGGGCTTGGGGGTTGTCCAGTTCCAGCTCCTTTTGTGGGGTCCCGGGTGGCGCCGACGGCAGCAGCAGCGCGGCCGCTATCACCTCCAGGAAGCTGTTCTGGGGCCCCCGCGCCCACAGGCCGCTGAGCAGCCCGCGGGGGCCCTCCGGCCCCACCTCGCCCACCTCCTGCAGACCCC